CTGGACACGTGTTTGTGTTCCAGGAGGACACATGTTTGTTATCAGATGAACACGTGTGTGTGTGTGTCTGCTCCGCATGCGCATGTGTGTGTGTTCATTTGCACACATATGTGTGTTCCACGTGCACACATTTGTGTGTTCACGTGTCCACACATGTGTGTTCCAATTGGACACGTGTTTGTGTTTCAGGTGAATACATGTTTGTTTTCAGATGAACGCACGTGTGTGTGTGTTCCGGGTGCGCATATATATGTGTGTGTGTTCACGTGTACACATATGTGTGTTCACGTGTACACACGTCTGTGTTCCAATTAGACACACGGTTGTGTTCCAGGAGAACACGTGTTTGTTATCAGATGAACACTCGTGTGTGTCTGTGTTTTCCGCGCGCGCATAAATGTGTGTGTTCACATGTGCAGTACACATGTGTGTGTTCCACGTGTGCTGTGTTCACGTGTACACATATGTGTGTTCACGTGTACACACGTCTGTGTTCCAATTAGACACACGGTTGTGTTCCAGGAGAACACGTGTTTGTTATCAGATGAACACTCGTGTGTGTCTGTGTTTTCCGCGCGCGCATAAATGTGTGTGTTCACATGTGCAGTACACATGTGTGTGTTGCACGTGTGCACATGTGTGTGTGTTCACGTGTGCGCATTTGCGTCTCCCACGTGTACACATATGTGTGTTCACGTGTACACACATGTGTGTTCCAATGGACACGTGTTTGTGTTCCAGGTGAACACATGTTTGTTTTCAGATGAACACTCGTGTGTGTGTGTGTTCCGGGTGCGCGTATATATGTGTGTGTTCACGTGTACACATATGTGTGTTCACGTGTACACACGTCTGTGTTCCAATTAGACACACGGTTGTGTTCCAGGAGAACACATGTTTGTTATCAGATGAACACGTGCGTGTGTGTCTGCTCCGCGTGCACTTTTTTTGTATGTGTGTTCACGTGCACACATTGTGTGTTCACGCGTGCGCACATGTGCGTTCCAACTGGACACGTGTTTGTGTTCCAGGAGGACACATGTTTGTTATCAGATGAACACGTGTGTGTGTGTCTGCTCCGCATGCGCATGTGTGTGTGTTCATTTGCACACATATGTGTGTTCCACGTGCACACATTTGTGTGTTCACGTGTCCACACATGTGTGTTCCAATTGGACACGTGTTTGTGTTTCAGGTGAATACATGTTTGTTATCAGATGAACACGTGCGTGTGTGTCTGCTCCGCGTGCACTTTTTTGTATGTGTGTTCACGGCACACATTGTGTGTTCGCGCGTGCACACATGTGCGTTCCAACTGGACACGTGTTTGTGTTCCAGGAGGACACATGTTTGTTATCAGATGAACGCGTGTGTGTGTGTGTGTGTCTGCTCCGCGTGCGCATGTATGTGTGTTCATTTGCACACATATGTGTGTTCCACATGTACACATTTGTGAGTTCATGTGTCCACACATGTTTGTTCCAATTGGACACGTGTTTGTGTTTCAGGTGAATACATGTTTGTTTTCAGATGAACGCACGTGTGTGTGTGTTCCGGGTGCGCATATATATATATATTTTTAAATATGTGTGTGTTCACGTGTACACATATGTGTGTTCACGTGTACACACGGTTGTGTTCCAATTAGACACACGGTTGTGTTCCAGGAGACCACGTGTTTGTTATCAGATGAACACTCGTGTGTGTCTGTGTTTTCCGCGCGCGCATAAATGTGTGTGTTCACATGTGCAGTACACATGTGTGTGTTCCACGTGTGCACATGTGTGTGTGTGTCACGTGTGCGCATTTGCGTCTCCCACGTGTACACATATGTGTGTTCACGTGTACACACATGCGTGTTCCAATTGGACACGTGTTTGTGTTCCAGGAGAACACATGGTTGTTATCAGATGAGCACACGGGTGTGTGTTCCGGGTGCACATATATGTGAGTGTTCACGTGTGCACATATGCGTGTTCACGTGTGCACATATGTGTGTTCCACGTGTACGCACATGTGTGTTCCAATTGGACACGTGTTTGTGTTCCAGGTGAACAGATGTGTGTTTCACGTGAACACATTAGTATGTGCTAGGTGAACTTTTTTTGGCATCTGACGACATATTTGCTCTCCAGGTGTGCACATGTATGCGCTCCAGAAAACGCATGATTGTTTTCGAGGTGCGCGCATGTGTGTGCGATTTAGGTGAGCATTTATGTTTGCTCACGTGTGCGCATATGTGTGTTCCACATGTACACACATGTGTGCTTTAATCGCACACGCGGTGTTCCAGGTGGACACATGTTTGTGTTCCAGTGGTATACATATGTGTGTCCCACGCGTACACACATGTGTGCTTTAATTGCGCGTCTTTGTGTTCCAGGTGAACGCATGTGTGTTCCACGTGTACACACATGTGTGTCTGAATTGGACACGCGTTTCATTGTGTTCCAAGTGAACACACATGTGTGTTCCACGTGAACGCATTAGCGTGTCGTAAGTGAACACATATGTGCGTTCCACGTTTGCACATGTGTGTGTGTGCTTTCCAAGAAGCACATGTTTGTTTTCCAGCTCAACACATTTATGCGTGTGCCGCAGGTGAATGTATACTGTTTCAGTCGTATACGTATGTGTGTTCCACGTGTACACACATGTGTGTCTGAATTGGACATGTGTGTTTGAACTGCCCATGTGACCGCGAAGCACGCCAGCAACACACGTGCAGCAACGCAACGCGCGCCAGGTTCACGACTGCATCATTTTGATTCATCCGTGTTGAAGCGCAGAAAGCCACAAGCTGTTGGCATGTTTGTGCTCGCCCGTCAGCCCTCAACTGTTTGGGGTCTCTGCTGGTGTAATTGTTTGCCTTCGCTGCCTTGGACATCTGCTCGAAACAAACACGGAACCGACCTCAGCAGATTCCGCACTTAGCCAACTCGGCCTTGCAACATCGCTTTCAAACAGCCCGCGTGAACAGAACATGCCATAGAGAGTCGCGTGGCACTCAACCGATCCCTCGGGAGTAAAAGCTTGCTCAGAACAAGGGCATTGCTATCCGTGAAGATCATAATGTAGCTCCCACTATGGTGGATGCCCAAAATGGTACAGTTACAACTCCAGAAACATGAGATGTTGCTTCGATGTTCCTCGGTTTTGTGGCTGCATTTGGTTCATGTGGACCATGCAGGGAATCCACCGTAGGTATCAACACACACAGCCAGCCAAACACGTCCCATGCCTGCCAAATCTTGCCGGGATCACCATTGGGCGGCATGGCACACGCAGCACCTTAGAGTCTGAGTAAGGCGTGTCCAGTAAGACAAGAGCCAGTCTTTCCACTGTCAAGCTCTCCAATGAATCAAACTCCAATGAGTCGCCAATTGAATCCCCGCAAAGGAAAGCTGGCGCGCGGTGAACGTGGAACCAACTTTTCGTTTGTGGTTGATATTGTCGCGTTACAACTCATTGGACAAATGCTGTGCTTGCCCCTAGCTGACAACTTCCATGTCGGCAGCATACATCTCAAAACCCTGGATCCAGATTCAGGCCTAGAAAATAGTTCCTATTGTGGGCTGCTCCAAATGCACTTAGCTCGGTCCCAAGACAAACCAAAGCTAAGTTCCATCGTTGCCCACTAGCTGGGACTGGCAAATCAAGTCGCAACCACATGGCCTTTCCCCTCCCCCTCTTGGCCCCCAAGTAGAAAAGGGATGCAAATGTGGGGGAGTTGAGAAAGAGTCTAGCACAACCCAGACCTCCTACGGCCCTGAATGTCTGTAACCCAGCCAAGAGACACGGCAACGGCCTTTGCAGGAATCTCTTTGAATCCACCACGAAATTGTGGATCCTAGGCGGGTGTCCAAAATATGGCCTCGCTTTCAACCCCAGTGCCCCCCAAGGTGCTGCCTTTGGAAGGGGATCCCAAAGAAGGTCCTGTGCTTTGGCAACGCCCCACTTGTTTGCGGCTCCCCATTTTTGGAAGGGGCACCCACCCCACCTACAGTTGGGTGAAAGATGGCACAACTCCCCCCATCTTGGTTTTTCATCCCCTTACAAAATTTACAACTACCTACAGAAATTGGACTCTGCCATCTTTCACCCAGGTGTAATAGTGTAATTCTATCGACCCTCTTAAATTTCGGCCAGCCTTGTGTCGATCCCCCTTTTCCGACTCGAGACCCCCGCCAGTCGCTCCAGCCACCGCAGCGGCCGGCGCCGTCGGCCAGGTACCCCTGCAGCCTCAATCAGTACAGGGCTCACCTGAAACGGTTTTTTGCAAGGTACCCTTTCCAAGGTTAAAGGGAAAATGAAAGGACACCCACGGTTTTGGGCTCCCATATTTGCATCGCTGATTACTGAAAATAAGAATTGCAGTAGTTAACCAAGATTAAAAAGGTGACTACACTTAACAGAGGTGGTTGTATCTTGCTTTTGTCCAAAGTTGAAATGGGTGGCATCCTGGTGAGTCACTTTGGAGTGAGGACTGTGTTTCAGTGCTGCGCTCACAGCTTTGTTGGAGCTCAAAGTTGGCTTCGTTGAAAGCTTGGACTGTGAAGCTGCCAGGCGCTGAGCTCTCGGCGGATTGAACTTAAAGATGTACCTCGGCAGTGGAAACCCTTGCAAAGGAGAGCTGTCTTCCCGGTGGCCTTGCTCAGGTTGCATGTTGAAGCCCAAACGTTGGCATGGAAGCCACGTCGAATGGCGGTTTGAAGTTGGGGCCAGGCAAAGCCCTTCTAAAGTTCCAAAGCTTGGGTTGGTCTATGTTGGTCTGGAATGTGGTATCCCTGGCCGATGGTTCTTGCCATGCTGGAAGCCTCAATGTCCCTCTCTGCTCACTGACTTCCAGCGCCCGGCGTGTTCTAACCGCGAGCTCCAATGGCTTTGATTGAAACTCCATGCCTGTTGGCCTAGAGCTTGCTAGCTGTACACTGTACAGGCCAGGGAGGTGTCATGCGCGTTCATGGGCCCTTTCAGGGTCCCAAACACAAGTTGAAACCTCACCACCCCTTGCCCTTGCCCTTGCCGTTGCCCTTGGAATTGCCTTTGCCGCCGTTCCCATACTTGGGGCCCATGGTCGCGGCGCGGCGCACGCAGCTGGCGATCCACTCGTTGGTGCTCGGGAAGTCGGGCCGGTCCACCCCGATGCCGCGGAAGTAGGCCGCCCAGTCCTTGGTGGACTCCTTCCGCTGGCGCCATTCCGACTGCAGGCGCTCCAGCCGCTCCGGCAACTTGCCTTGAGCTCGGAACATTGAGAGAGGGGCTCATGTAAAAGCCAGCCAATGTTCTTCCAAAGCTTCGCCATCGGGGGAGGGGGCGGCGAAGCAACTGCAGCAGTGCCAAAAGGAAAGGTTGTCAAGGACTTGTCCCGTTTTACAAAAGGGCCGAAATGAGCCTTGCCCGCATGCCAACATAGTGCAAATTACTACTGTACCCCCTGATAGATGATCTCCAGCATAGGTCAGCTCGGTTTACCTCATCGCAAGGTCCTTGTTTTGAAGAATATGGAGTCCCATGGCTTTTGTGGTTTATATTTAGTGTGTCCATGTTCTTCCCAAATGGACCATATTGCCCATGTTGACCGGTCTTGCCCATGGCGGGTTTCCCTTCCCACCGCCATTCTGAAAGGGAACAAAGAGACCCCCTCACAGAGGCGTCTTCTAGTTTGTGCACTTTCTATTCGGTACCATGTCTCCTTGGACGCGGGTAATTCTTCAAAAATGGTGAACCCGTCAAGATCCTTGAAATGGGTTCTGCTGTTTACTTTTAACCCCCAGCCGAAACGGGATTCGCATCCCGTATGTTCACAAAAAACACGACCCCAACCTGTTCCAAACCGCCCAAACACCCCCGTGGTTCGCCACGAAAAACGAGCCGCAGTTGGTTTGCTCCATCTCCTTCATTGTCTGCGCCGTCTCTCCAATGACCAAATCCACCACCGCCAGCTGGAACATCAGGATCTCTCGAGAGACCTGTGTCGCCTCCAGATGGCAACCAGCACCCACAGGCCAAAAGACGCCAGAGGAAAACACAGGGAAAGTACAAGAGGGAAAACACCTTAAAGAAAATGAACAACAAGCCGCTCAGCTGCCCATCAATTTGCGCCGTACAAGCAATTTGGGCTCCTTAGGTGATTTTTTGGCTCCTTGGCTCCAAGATCCATGGCTAGAGCGGCTACAGAGTGCCAGAAGGGCACCACTACCTTCAAGCTGGCCTGGAAGACGGGTGCGCTCTCGGGTTTTGTGCCCGAGCGCTGCCACCACATGACCCAACGAAGCGAGTTCTCGTCTACGTAGGGCGCCAGGAACTGCTGCCGGGACGGGCAGGACTTGTCGCCCTGGGGCAAACTGCTCTTGGCAAGTCTTGTCCTCAACATATTCAAACAACACAGCTCTTCCCCGGGCCGTGTTTATCTATCACTGTCTCTCTCTCTCACTCTCTCGCTGTGTCTCTCTGTGCTTGAAATCAATCATAAACGGGTGGAGCCAGGAAACGGCACGCCACTTATTTCAGCTCTGTGCTCCGGAAGAAATCGGAGCATGTCCGTACGGACAGTTGGCTCAGCCAGACCTTCCAAGCTTCCAAAACCGAAGCCAAAAGTGGTCTAACGAACACCTGGCAAGGTGGCCTGAAGCACCGTGAAGAGCACCAGCAGCGCGCCGAGGTCCGGGCACTGGTCCTCATTGGACCCATCAGGGAAAATGAAACGAGGATCTCGGATGCTGAGACGAACCGGCCAGGAATCTCAAGCACCCCCCCCCCCCCACTCAAGTCCTTGTGGCGACGGGCCTCCTCCCACACGAAGCGGGTGAGCGAGTTCCCGGCTTTGCTGCGGAGCGCGGGCCGGGTGTCCACGAGCCACCGGAAGGTGCGCCAAAAGTTGCAGAGCGCCTCGAAGGTGGCGATGGCCGCGCTCTTGGAGGCATCTGGCCGCATCATCTCCACGATCATCTGATTGATGAGCCTTGGGAAGACCTCCATGATGGCCCCGTCCTCGTCCTTGGCAGCAAAGACGCTGCTTCCAATAAGGTTCACCTGCTTGCTGAGCTCGCTTTTCCACTGCGGGTTGGCCGCGGCATGTGCCTGGCAATGGTTCCAAGAAATCCCTGCAGCGTTGGTTGCTTTAAGGTATGTAGCGTTGTAACAACCAACAAAGGATCGCGATTGACCGATTTGTTCATCATGGACGAGGCATGTGAGGAAGCCGCATTTCAATGGCGATTGATACACGACGAAAGAGACAAACATATGTTCTCAGTCTTGTGTTTCACGGGCAAGGATGCTAGAATTCCACATTCACTATGTATGCTCCGAGGTTGAACAAGAAGACATCTCTCGGCCTTGGAGGCTTCAAGGTGTCACGCTGCTGGAGACGAGCTCCGTATTTGAGTGTCGGTGATTTCCCGCATGCTCTCTTTCACAAACGTGCTGTATGCGGCATCTCAACAGTATGCACCAAGTCTAGCAACTCTCAAAAATTGATTGAAGCGACACGCCAACTGGAAAGTCAACCTCTGCCATCTGCCGCCACCCCTGACCTGAATAACTGGGGGCGCCCTGTCTTGGAGTTGCCCTGCGCTGACTGAAACAACTCGGCTTCAAAGCACCCGCCTCTCTCCCAAAATGGGCAGTTTGCCGCCTGTTGTGTCCTCGTCTAAGCCGCCGGAAACGGGTACTTGCGAGAAAGACATTTGGGTGGACCATGAGAGTTCACCAACTTGAAATAGGCAATTGGACCCCAAAAAAGGTAACGAACTTGGTCGTCCCCCCCTTTGGCGGTAGGTGAGGTCGCGAGTTGCTGCCTCGTTGATCCAAACGGGCAGGAAGAACTCAAAGCTGGACTTGTTGGTGTTCTGGCGCAGGCCCCCATCATAGGCCTCCTCGGGACGGCTCAGGGACGGCCACTGGTGTTCCCTGCTTCGAACAAGGGCCGAACGAGTGTTTCGAGAAAAGGCCCTTGAACCACTGCTGTCACAGAATGATTTTGGACGCTGC